AAAGAAACAATTTTAAGTTGGTTTGGATACTATAACTGTGATGTGAAAGAATTGAATGATGAACAAGCAACATGTGTCAATGAAACAACCCAAACTGATGAAATTCTTGAAAATGATGATTACAATGCAAATGAGGAAACAGCTGAAAACAGATTTGTTATTCAGCAAAATGCAGATAGTGATGAACGCCCTTTCTGTTTGTGTAAACCATGTATTACTGATGAAAGTAACAGACAATTGTGGTGGGAGACGAAGTGTCAGCAACGACACAGGAGAAATAACAGTTTGAGAAAGGACAAATATAAATATTTTTGGACAATGATGTACCATCGAGATGTTTGGAGAAATGATAAATATCAGGAAAGAAAATTACTAGCTTTGGCACGTGATCCAAAATTCAAAAATTGTATCTAGCATAAACGAGATATAATGCCAAATTGTGTTTTGAAACTTGTGCGAAACTGGCACTTCAATCCTGATTACATCCCATACATGGGCCACCTATGTGAATAACAATTGCCAAGTCATAAGTTTTACAATTAATATTACTATATTTACCTAGTTTTGTTTTAAATTCAGACCTCATAAAACATCTTATTCTTAAAAATACTGAAAAAGTGAATATATGGTTCATCTGTGAAATTGAAACTTATACTGGTAGAGATTTTATCTAATTCTTGTGGTGTAAAATACACTTATCAGTGACCATTCTGTGGATTTTTGATACTTGACTAGGATTATATTACTTATTCCCACGTTGATTGGTAAGTGGATTATCAGTAAATTAGTGCATGAAGTATAATCTAGACATGAATTTATTAACATGTTGCACACTACTTCCTGTGTAAATATAAACAAGAAGCTGTTGCCATGGGTATCTCCCCCCCCCCCCCCCCCATCTGTCAATCACAAGATTTGAATTTGAAAATACTTGCACCTCAGAATTTCATTTTAAAATGTTTTATTTATTAATTGGAATTTTTAAAAAACTATTTTGCTCTAAGTAATTCTTGTTTATGTTCCCACCTCTTTACATTTTTTATAGTAAAAAAAAAAAAAGTAATGAATAAGAAATATTAAAAAATGTTCCATAGACCTAAACCCAGCATTAAATTTGAATATATCCATATTTTCATAGATTGTCTCCCTTTTATACCCTAGCCCCGGTTTTTATTATGAGCAAATTGACATTTCTCTGTCTTATTATTGACTCATTTATATTAGCAAATGGACAAGCACATGATAGCGTAAAGAAATGGACAACACCACTTTACTAACATTGAGGAACATAAAATTGAGAATGGAAATGGGGAATGTGTCAAAGACACAATTACCCGACCAAACAGCAGAAAACTGCCGACGGCAACCAATGAGTCATCAACGCAGCCAGAAAATCCCGCACCGGAGGCGGTATTCAGCTGGCTTCTAAACAAAATGTGTACTAGTTCAATGAAAATGGACGTCACATTTAACTCCAAAACATATAAAATAGCTAAAATTAAAAAAACATACAAGATTAACAAAGACCAGAGGCTCCTGACCTGGGACAGGCGAAAAAATGAGGCGGGGTTAAACATGTTTTGTGAAATCTCAATACTCCCCCCATACCCTTGGTCAATGTAGAATAAACAAACACACAGTAATACGCACAGTTAAACTGTATTTTTTTGTTACTCCATTTATCCTTCAAAACATAGCTTACTACAAAGACACTCTTCCTTCTGTCCAATGGTGACCTTGACCTTCTTCTATAAGGTGACTTTGACCTAAAATAGAAAAGTGATCAATTTTATCGTCTGTCTTAATATTTTACAAAATGTCTTATTTATATTTCAGGAGAAAAGATAGGAAATAAAATTAAGTTGGATTAGCTAGGACATATTTTCTGCTTTGTAGTGATTTGTCCATTAAAATCAATGTGATGTAACTATGAACCATACTTTGATATAGAACGCCAAGCTGAGTCAGATTTTAACTTGCTAGGTGATAAGCTAACAATCCACTAGAAGATATGGAACCCTTTTTAGACACCTTGTTCTGACCGATATTTAAAATTGAATAGAAATGGGAATGTGTCAAAGAGACAACAACCCGACTAAAGAGCAGAAAATACTATTATTTCTCTATTACCTGCTGAAAGTTTCTCCAAAAATTATCAAATACCAAATATAACATTGAAAGATCAAACACATACCTTCAACACTGTATGCGAGTATGTCACCAACTGACTCCTATGGCAGTTTCCTAATCTTTTATATTTTTTGTCGAGCCTGCGACTTTGGTCGCAGAAAGCTCGACATAGGAATAGTGATCCGGCGGCAGCGGCGTTAACTAACTTCTTAAAAGCTTTATATTTTAGAAGGTAGAAGACCTGGATGCTTCATACTTTGTATATAGATGCCTTGTGTTAAGAAGTTTCCGTCTGTCATACGTCCATTGTCCTTGACCTCATTTTCATGGTTCAGTGACTACCTGAAAAAAAAAGTTAAGATTTTTTGTAATGTTAAATTCTCTCTTATTATGAGTAGTAGGATAACCATATTTGGTATGTGCGTACATTGCAAGGTCCTCATGGCTGTCAGATAGTTTTTCTCATGACCTCGACCTCATTTCATGTATCAGTGAACAAGGTTAAGTTTTGGTGGTCAAGTCCATATCTCAGATACTTTAAGCAATAGGTCAAGTATATTTGGTGTATGGAAGGATTGTAAGGTGTACATGTCCAACTGGCAGGTGTCATTTGACCTTGACCTCATTTGCATGGTTCAGTGGTTATAGTTAAGTTTTTGTGTTTTGGTCTCTTTTTCTTATACCTTATGCAATAGGTCTACTATATTTGGTGTATGGAATGATTGTAAGGTGTACATGTCCAACTGGTAGGTGTCATCTGACCTTGACCTCATTTTCATAATCAATTTGTATTAGTCCAAGGAGATCGTCGTCTTATCGTAGAGTACTTTGTTATACCACGTTTTTCTGCTAATGATTTTATCTCCTTTTCGGTAAAACATTTTCGTGGCTAAATTTATATTAGTTTTTTCCTCAATAAGCTGTATCTACTTTTCCTCTGAAATCTTACTTTACCTTGTTAAACCCTCATCCTTATCCACTTGATGGCGGTCCTTCGTGGTGTTTTTTACCTGCATCTTTCCTCCGATATCAACATTTTCATTATTCTGATTGAATGATTGTTTTCTTGTGTCTCAAGCAAAGCCCGTCTGTTTTAGGTTTATTCTTACAAAACCCGTGTTATTCCGCTTCAATTTTGCATTACAAAATGTTTCAACATTTTTAGCACCGCCGCTTTCACTTGATATAAGTTTAAAAGATGTCAGTACAGATGGACCATGCATGTCTCCGTTGTCAATAATATTTGAATTCATATTCATTAGATTACTACTACCACTTCCCTTTGAGGTGATTAAATTCTTTAATTTTTTTTTTCACTTGTTATTCTTTTTTTTTTTCATTAAATTTCATCTCTTACTCCTAATAAAAAATCATAAACCAAACCCCTAACATTAATTTAGGGAGCTACCATTTGATTTTTATGGGGGGCTAGAATGAACAGTTTTGTCCTACTTTTTTTTTAGTTGTAATCTCTGTCCTGCCTTTTTATTTTTCACTCTATTCGGTCCTGCCTTTTTTATTACTTTATCCTGACTTTTTTTACATAAATTGTCATTCTGCCTTTTTTTTTTTTGCCAAGTTGCTCATCCTGCCTTCTTTTTTCTCAAAAGTCCTGTCCTGTCTTTTTTTCAAATTTCATCCTAGCCCCACTCCCCCATAAAAATCAAATGGTAGATCCCTTACTTAGGGAGTCTTTATTTACCGTATATGTTGCATATTTTCCATATAAGATGCTGATTTTCTACTATAAAATTCCAGGTGGGGTAGAATCCCCATTTTCATACTAGTCACATATTTTCTCCTATAATCTGTACAATCACATGCAAAATGGAATAACCTCCTTAAGCGTAGTGTTTTTTAGAAGTGTTCCCCATGTTGAGATGCGGATCAATAGGATTTACCTGATCTTCAGTAGTTGTCCTTTGTTGATTACTGTTCATGAGTGTTTCTCGTTTCTCGTTTATTATATAGATTAGACCGCTGGTTTTCTCGTTTGAATGGTTTTACACTAGTTATTTTTAGGGCCCTTTATAGCTTGCTGTTCGGTGTCAGCCAAGGCTCTGTGTTGAAGACCGTACTCTGACATATACTAGTCTTTCTTTTTACAAATTGTGACCTGGATTGAGAGTTGTCTAATTGGCACTCATACTACAACTTCTTATATCTATATATAAGCACTTTTCAAGTATCTTTTACACTCGAATAATCTGACCATATGAGGATATTCATTTTTTTTTTAAATAATTTATTGCGTTTCTTTAATTGAAAACATTCTAGACAACTTTTTTTAGGAGTAGATACCCTTCATCTATGAAACTGGTGTTGTATTGTTTGTATTAGGATTGCTATGTTGAGTAACTGGTTTTAAATATTCTAAACCCTTACTTTAAAGGAGCACTAGCTGACAAATTCATGTTCACCGATTTGACTCAAATTCTCATATTTAATTTATAACAATGTAAAACATTTATCCAAACTATTGAAAGTCTTAAATAAGCAATTTAGAGGGCATGAGCTCGATAATATCTAGCTTCGTTTTTTGTGTATTGATTGTTTATCAAGTTTACGGTCGAGAGACTTCGGTTACAACAGCTAACCAACACCGAATGAAATGTTTTTTTGTTGGTTAAACGTTATGGATGCGTAAAAAAAAAAAATCCACGTGCACAGAGGGTTTAGTTGAGTATACACATATGCATTTGTTTAAAAATGTCTTCATATTTTAATGGAACAAAAAACATATTTTGAATGACTTTAAGAACAAATCCGCTTGGATATTTTGAAACACATTATAGTTCTAAACAATGACTATTCTTATTTAAAAGGTTTATAGACAATTGTCTTATTCTTGATCACGTGACAAGGGGACAAAAACCGGTATAAATTGTTGGTTAATTCAATGTGTTATTTCATTCATTTGAAATGTATCCTGTAGACGTTTGTGCATATTTTACAGAATATTTTTTTTTGAAACTGTTTTCTATTTACTTAAGTTGATTTGAACTCTGTATATATCGTCGTCTGTACACTTAATCAACTATTTTAGTTACCGTTGAGAAGAGTAACATTGTGTACGGATCACAGATTCTGACAAATTCAAGTAAGTATTTTTGTTTCAGTTTGCTGACCATACTAACCTCGAAGTTGATATAAATAGAAAAAAAAATTATTCGTGAGTTAATTAAAGAATATTTATTGTAGAAAGTTAACATTTCATGATACTGTAAAAAGTAAAATCACGAAAATAATGACCTCTGAGGAAAATTCAAAAGCGGAAAGTTCCTAATCAAATGGCAAAATCAATAAAACATCAAACATCAAACGAATGGACAACAACTGTCATATTCCCGACTTGGTACAGGCATTTTCTTATGTAGAAAATGGTGGATTAAACCTGGTTTTAAAACTGGCTAAACCTCTCACTTGTATGACAGTCGCATACAATTCCATTATATTGACAACGATGTGTGAACAAAACAAGCAGACATAATAGGTAAAAATGTCAAAAATAGGGGCACAACAGTCAACATTGTATTATCATCTTAATCCCTATTAAAACAAACAAATATATTAACAAACATTTACCATGGCATACTAATACAATGGCGGGATGTATAAGTACAGAGCCACGTCATATGTAAGAAAGAAACACAAAAAGACATACAGACAAAGCCTATTAGCAACAATAATACAGAAACTAACATAGAATAATAACAAAAACGGAGCCACGTCATAAGTAACAAAGAAACACAAAATGGCGTATATACAAAGAATATTGGCAAAAATGTAGGACAAGAATACAAAAATTAATATAGAACAATAACACAATGACGGGATGTATAAGTACGGAGCCACGTCAAATAGATACCACAAAAAAACCGACTAAACAATAAAAGTAATATTATAAACAGTAAAAGTAATATTATAAACAGTAAAAGTAATATTATAAAGAGTAAAAGTGATATTATAAAGAGTAAAAGTAATATTATAAACAGTAAAAGTAATATTATAAAGAGTAAAAGTAATATTATAAAGAGTAAAAGTAATATTATAAAGAGGAAAAGTAATATTAGTAAAAGTAATATTATAAACAGTAAAAGTAACAGACTAAACAGTAAAAGTAATATTATAAACAGTAAAAGTAATATTATAAACAGTAAAAGTAATATTATAAACAGTAAAAGTAATGTTATTAACAGTAAAAGTAATATTATAAACAGTAAAAGTAATATTATAAACAGTAAAAGTAATGTTATAAACAGTAAAAGCAATGTTATAAACAGTAAGAGTAATGTTATAAACAGTAAAAGTAATATTATAAACAGTAAAAGTAATATTATAAACAGTAAAAGTAATATTATAAACAGTAAAAGTAAAATTATAAACAGTAAAAGTAAAATTATAAAGACAAATGAAGAAATGATAATACAACACGTGATTAAGATGAAAAACAACGTCAGTACCCAAAATATATACTTCAACACCATCGTGTATTATTTGTGAGGTTGATACGGAATATTTATCAACAAGGTCTGGGTACCTTCCGATGAACTTTTTTACAAAAAGGACGAGACGTTCTTTGACATACCCCTGGTTCATCAACTTTCTGCTCAGACTCTGATGACGTATTGCAAAGTCTGAGTAATTGCTGCATGCTCTTGAACACCGAATAAGTTGGAAAATGTATATCCCATATGCAGGTGAAGTTGGTATATTGCTATGCCTTTTTGTGTTTCTTTCTAACATATGAGTGGCTCTGTACTTATACATCCCGTCATTGTATTAGTATGCCATGGTAAATGTTTGTTTGTTTTATAGGGATTAAGATGATAATACAATGTTGGGGGAAATTGATAATTTCAAAATTAATATCGTCTCGTTTGTCATAGATTCTGGTACTGAGATGACCGTGTATGTCAAATTCGAGGTATAAGTCTAAAAATGAGGCGGAGGAAGCCGTGTCTGTTGTTTCTTTGATTTCTAGTTCTGAGGGATATATTAATTGAACCCAGTTAGAAAAGTTTGGATTGTTAATTGAAAGAACATCATCAATATATCTGAATGTGAAATTAAATAACCTGGCTTCTTTGATCTTCTTGTTTTTGACAAGTGTCTGAAGGAACTCCCATTCATATGAAAATAAAAAGAGGTCGGCAAGAAGAGGCGCACAGTTTGTTCTCAAAGGAATGCCGACAACTTGTTGAAAAAGTCTACCTCCAAATTCAACAAATATGTTGTCAATTAGAAACATCTATACATTTACATTTTCGCGAGCGATTTTTTTTTTCGAGACTTCAGCGAACAGAAAAAATAACGCGAACATAAATGGTCGCAAATATATTGCACTTATAACTTCTCTCATATAATTACACCAAGAAAATGAGTAAACCGCGAAAACACATCGCCGCAAAGTCGGGTGAAACTTGCTGAACGCAAAATAAAGAATCCACGAAAATAAGTTGATTTACAGTATTTGACTGAAGATTTTTATTATGATTTTGGCGACAAACAACCGCATCATGTTTTTGTCACTAAGTCACTTTTACAGCGGCGTCAATCCCAGTGAGTGCAGATGTTTTTATTTTTAACGTATTAACAATGGGAGAAGTGGGTCATAGTTGAGTGGCATAAACGCCTAAATACTATAAACATAATATATAGATATCAGAAGATATGGTATGGGTGCCATTGAGACAACTCTCCATCCAAGTCACAATTTATAAAAGTAAACCATTATATGTCAAAGTACGGTCTTTAACACGGAGCCTTGGCTCACACCAAACAGCAAGTTATGTACATTTATAGGTAAAAACAATATTACTATGTTTTACCCGACAAAGATCTGTATATTTGTCAACGCCCTTAATAATTTCTAATCCAAATATAATATATTTGTCATCTACTGGATAGTTTCAAGTCATGACAATTTATAAAATGTAGGATGAACCTGTAATAAAAGTTATAAGTATTGAAATAGCATTTCTCTTCGCAAATAAAACCTCACTTGATGCAAATATTTGTAAATTCGATCAGAAATGAACCTAAAAAAACAGATGCATAAAAAGTTATTTGGATGGAACTTCCTCCCAGAAAATGTTGCACCTCTAGTATTCTATACAAGAACAATTGTTTGAAGGTACACATTTTAAATAGAATAGCTTCTGTGCATACAATGCAGCTCTTTGAAGAAGAAAACATATTTTAGTAACGATGGAATCAAATGAAAGTTTAAGGATTTGGATAGCTTTGAATCCCTTGTAAAACAGAAAAAAAGATGGCATTATTCTCAGATGAAATTTTGTTTGAACTACCAAACTTCCTGCGACCAGCGCATTCTTATGTTCAATTAAAGGTATACTGAATATCCTTGTATAGTTTTGACATTTAATGACTGTCACCTTATTTCAACATTAGACAACACAGCTAGCAATGCTTGAAACAAGTCAGAGGTTAACATAGAAACAATTGGGCCTCGAATACTTTGATTTATTTTTAAACACACATTGTAAACCAGACATTATATAAAGACTATGATTATGGTTAAATACTAGTCACGCAATACTTTAGATAAAGAGGGAAGCATTTTGAGATAAGATTACCCTGATCTATTCATATGGTACGAACAAGAGCAAATTTTCTAAATTCTTATTTTTCCGAGTGTAAAATTATACGATGTGCATTGTATTTTTTTTTTATAACAAGTGTTATTCTGATGTATAGTAAACACCTTGTGATTATATTAAAGGATCGTATGACCCTTGATCGTGGCCGATAGAAGTTAATGATACGATTGTAAACATCAAATACGTTGTTTTACAAATTTATCTATACCATCGAGGTCAAATGTCATCTTCAACTTACGAAAATAATACTACGACTATAGAAACTTCACATTGATCAGTCCAATACATGTAAAAGTGTTTATGATGAAACTTGGAGTGATAAATGACGTTTTAATTAAGGGATACACAAATGAAAACAAATAACAATTTGCACTGCTGCGATTTTTTTGGAATTGTCATTTATTCAATGTATTAAACAGTATTCTGAAAAACTGTGCCTAATTGTGAGACACTAATAAAATATTGAAAAACTAATTTTCTATTAATGTATTTCGTATGTTGTAACATAAAATCAAATGGCCGACTGACCACCTTTGTAGAACAGCATATGACGTCCAAACCACTGTTTTCCTGTCTTAGTTTTTATAAACTTTCTACAACAAATGTCTGTTTTCCTTTAAACAATACAATATGTGGTAAACTACAAATGATATTAGCGTTGAAAAGTATTATATATAATTATGTATTTGTTTTTTTGACGTTTTTACACTATTGAGTTTTATTCCACGTACTTTAAACATGACTGGTTTTCATCGGTATCAGTGTATCCTGAATAGACTGTAACGAACTTGTTCAAAGACAGATGTAACAAAGGAATTCAGATGTCCTTTTGAAAAGATTTTAATCAATATGGCGTTTAACATGTTGTAATTGATATAACATTGTAGTAGTTCAAAAGATATCTCCTTCCCGCTTTTTGTTCGAAAAAAAACCCCAAAGATATAACACCAACATGACTACGCTTAATTTAATTAACATGCATACAAGAGAAAATTCAATCACCACTGTTCTGAAACATAAGTCGAAAGCTAACTCCAGTTTTAACATATGTTGAATGTATTAATACAATTTCTAATGTTCACATAAAACTACACTTGACAATCATTTATATTACGTCGCAAAAAAAGGACTGCTATACGTTAACAATTTCATAAATAGAGGGGTATTAATTCTTAAATGTTTGTTGAAGAATAATATTTATAATTTCTAATTTGTGTTCCGAGCAAAGATTATTAGCAATAAAGTAAATAAAGACACAACTGTACAATACTTCATATATATCAAGCGTATAACCTACATGTAGGTACTTTATTTGTTTTTAAATCATCTGATTAAGTATTGATAACAACAAATCGGAGGACTTACCTTGTTTGTTTTGGATACCTAAGCTTCACAAAATTCCGTACAAACAACGGTACATTGCCGGCTCATCTGCATGTTCGACTAAAGAATTGTCCATTAAATTGACAAAAAATATACCGCAGTGAAAGAGGGTCTTCAGAAATACCGTGAAACTGTTTACTCACGTAGTGGTATAGCCATATGTCGATTCTAAAAACTCTAAAGAACTTCTGGATAATTTTAGATCTCGATCTTATTCTAAAATTAGTTCTATCAAAATGATTTTTCTACCCTGTATACCACCATGCCCCATGTGAAATTGAAAAATTGTCTAAAAAATATAAACTACAATGCTTTTCAACATAAAAATGGTAGTATACGCTATACATTTATTACTTTTGGATACCATACGGCATATTTTGTTAATAGTGAACAAAGAGGTAAGAGATGCTACACAGAGGAACAAGTATTCAGTATGCTGGAGTTTCTTATTGACAACATATTTGTTGAATTTGGATGTAGACTTTTCAACAAATTATCGGCATTCCTATAGGAACATACTGTGTGCCTCTCCTTGCCGACCTCTTCTTATTTTCATATGAATCGGAGTTCCTTTAGACACTTGTCAAAAACAAGAAGATCAAAGAAGCCAGGTTATTTAATTTCACATTCAGATATATTGATGATTTTCTTTCCATTACAGCAGAATGCATTGAGTGTGTAGGTAAAGGTAATATATTTGGTTAGCTTTCTTGCTAGCTGAACCGTGAAGTCATTATTAGGTTAGATAAATTACTCTCCTTTAAGAGTAGACTAGTCCGAAAGATAACAAATCTATCTGTTTGTAGGACTAGACTACTCCGAAAGGAGGGTAGTACACCTTATTTAATAATGACTTCACGGTTCAGCTAGCAAGCAAGCTAACCAAAGATTCTACCTTTACCTACACATTCCATGCATTCTGCTGTAACAATCCGAACTTTTCTGATTGGGTTCCATTAATATACCCCCCAGAACTAGAAATTAAAGAAACAATAGACAAGGCTTCCTCTGCCTCATTTTTAGACTTATACCTCGAATTTGACATACACAGTCATCTCAGTACCAGAATCTATGACAAACGAGACGATTTTAATTTGAAAGTATCAATTTCCCCCCACCTATAAAGCCAACTTCACCTGCATATGGGATATACATTTCCCAACTTATTCGGTGTTCAAGAGTTTGCAGCTCCTACTCAGACTTTGTAAAACGTCACCAGTGTCTGAGAAGAAAGTTGATGAAACAGGGGTATTTCAAAGAACGTCTCGTCCTTTTTCTAAAAAAACTTCATCGGAATGTATCAAGACCTTGTAAATAAATATTCCGTATCAACTTTAAAAATATTACACGATGGTTAGAGTTGTTATCCATTTATTTGATGTTTTTGAGCTTTTGATTTTGCCATTTGATTAGGGACTTTCCGTTTTGAATTTTCCTCGCATTTCAGTATTTTTCAAGATTTTACTTTTTTTAAAGATCTAAATGTTTTTTTTTAATTTATTTTTGATATAGAGCTTCTCAAGTACTCTAGTGTTAACATATCCTTGGTTGTCACATTTTAGGATTTCATTGCCAAATATATTGGATTAAATGCTACGGTTACATTAAATGAAATAATACATGTAATGTCTAATATGTTATTGCTTAACAATATATCGAGCAAACGTGTCTTCATACACGTCTACATTTTTTTTTGCATATTGTTGAAGTCGTTTCACATACAAACTGTATCCGTTCAATCCATGCATATAGTTAGTTTACTGGTCTATCGCTAATTGTTGTTACGGTTACTTTCATATAGCTTATTGGACGTATCTGTCATAGATCATCGATCACCAATCGATCAATCAAACGACCCCGTCACGCAGTTACGCTTAAGGTTGGAACTTTCCAACAAAACAGAACCGTAACGTTTAACTTTTTTTCGACATGAGAACGATGGCCCACTTCTTCAATAGGCATTCGAAATATCTCTTTTTTTTATCCCTGTTGACCCCATATATAAACCTAAGTTTGTGTATCTCAATCTTAAACAGCAAATGTGGTTGTTTTAACGTTTTGCAGGGAGAAAAATGTTGATATTAGTTGTTTAACTGTGGAAACATGTGTCAATAATTACTCTACTTACCAACCATATGTGATTGTATGATTACTTCAATTTACAATTTTCAAACTGAATAGTTCCGAAAGATTTTCCTCTGGACGTTTATACAAGTACAAAATGATTATAACAGTTGGAACTCCAATTCAGATTCTAAATTGTATATTTACAAAATGCAACACAACGAGCTGCATCTGACATTCATACATTTACAATTTCCTATCAAATTGTTTATCCATTTAAAATAATAAACTAAAAGAAAATAAAAGTATGTGCTACTAAGGATTGAAATCGTTCTAATGTAAAAATGTAATGATCAACTCAGTCATTTGTTTATTGATTTTTCCATGGAACAAGATAAGCAAAGAATAACAAAACTACGAGTTGTTCTTGTTAAGAAAGTATTGAGGACTTAGTTTAATATATATCCATGCATTTGTTCAATAATTTCCTAAATACTTTCTTACCATGAATAATTCGCTTAAAATGACTTTAAGAATACATAAGCTTGGGTACACTGAAACACCTGATAGCTTGGATGAATGACAGTTTTCTCATTTTAATGTTTTACCAGAAGATGCCGCCGAAATCACAGTACAATTTGGCATGCTTGAAAACAAAAAGTGGCAAGGGTGCTTGTGTTTCACCAGAAAGGGGAAGGGGTCCGGACGCCGGGTGTCTGTGTTAACACATAAAAAGCGTGGAGGATCACTTCGACACGTCCAACGCCCATTTCGTTTTTGGACATTTCTGCACCAGCGTTAAAAGGGTGGATGTCGTCTGATTTAGCAAAATGATGCATTTACAATACAATAGAGGATCCTTATAGGCCTAACTGTATTATTTTCTAGCCTTTATTTATTCTTATTTTAATTTTATTTCGCGGGCAGTACGTCGACTGAGCATGCGCGAAAGCGTATAAGACACGGATTGATAACGGTCTGTGGCGTTTTCTGTGTAAAAAAGATTGTTTCAAAGACAAATTTAGAAGTACAAAACACTACATTTATACGTCATATCACAAATATTTTCGACTTTGTATGACATCAGAGGAATTGCGGCTCAATGTAATCAGTCTCTTCCTATAGTAGTATAGATATTGTGTTATGCTTGATCACATGAAAAGGGATTCAAATCAGTACGAATGGTAAAGTAAATTTCTTTCATTCATTTTTAATGTGTCTTGTGAACGTGTATGTATTTTATAAAATATTATTCGTTCAAACCGTTTGTCATTTTTTTAAATGAGTTAAACTATATATATAGCATCGCCTGTACAATCCATTTTGATTTTGATTACAGTTGAGAAGAGTAATACTGTGAATGGACAGAAGATTCTGACATATTCAAGTGAGTACAGTTATTCTTTTTACTGACCACGACGTTTATATAAATATACAAAACGTTTGTAAATCTTGTTTCAAATGTACATCCTGATTTAACAAAGAATTTTTTGCCGAAAAAATACTACAGCAGGATGTTCAACTTTACCTGCTTCCAATGACTACTCTACGAACAACCAAAGAATGTGTTAGTTAAAATATGCACATTACCAGTGTCAATTCTCGTGAAAATGGGCTGCCTTCAATATTGTAACCCAAAATACTGAAAAAATAATGTATCTATAGGTAAAATACTATATACTTTTGACAACAAAGACCTGCATACTTTCCAACGCCCTAAATAGTTTCAAATCTAAAAGGACTTGCCTGTCATCTATAGAAAATTTTACAGTCCAGACGGAGAACAAATGTGTTGCAAATGGACTAAGAATATTCGGAAAAGAATTTTTTCTCAATATTATAACATTACACTTTCAAAAACTTTTTCTACTTAAAAATGGTAACGATTGGAAATTTGAGTTCTTGTTGTATAAATCATGCAAATAATCAATTCGAAATAACGCTAAAAATCCAGTCCTCACAAAACTTTATGCAGATGAAATTCTTTAGAAGATCTACCTCGTTTACAATGTTTCAATCACGGATAGCATGTACAATTCTATATATGTGCAGTTGTTTTAGAATAATATATCAAGACGGTTGGGTTTAAAAGGTAAGACACTACTTATTCGTGCCGGTCAGAAATAAATCGTTTATTCGTGCCCGTCAGAAATAGCATGTTGGTAACTGTGAAAGTGAGAAAATATTAAAACAAATTGATATCAAATCAAGATAAAGGACTTAAATAATTTTAGATCCCTTGTTCAAAATGTATTTTGCATAATGAATTAATTGAAGTCTGATAATATTTTTTGCCTCATTCTTAGCTCAAAAGTGATTTGTTTTACTACCCAACCTCCAAGAACCAGGGGCTCTAACATGTTATTTATTGTATGTTGATGTTGTCCGCACAAGCTATTATAAGATATACAGTTAACATAAATTTTACTGTCGCTTTATTAGAATTTAAGACATAAAAGCTATCAATGCTTGAAAAAAAGTTTAACATAGAAAACAATGAAGCCATGACGTACTTTGTCTTAATTATTTAAACAAAAAATGAGAACTCGAAATTAAAGAAAAAATATGATGAAGGTGAACAAGTATTTAAATAATGTATTAGATAAATAAAGAAACATTTTGAGATGATATTGCACTGACCTATTTATATTATAAGTACTAGAGACAATGTTCTACATTATTTAACTTATTATTCTGTGTGTAAAATTATACTTTATTCATAGTAGTCTTTTATTTTTCTTCAACAATTGACATTTTCATAAATTGTGAACACATGGTAAATATATAAATTGTGCATATGACCCAGAACCATGTCCGAAAGAAGTTAATGATTCGATTGTAAGATTTAGAAATTTAACTGTTTTACAAAGCTATTGTTATTCTTAAGGTCAAATGTCATCTTTTGCTAAAGAATTTAATACTACCACTATAGAACTTTAAATTGATCAGTACGATATATTTATAAGTGTTTATGTGAAAAATTGGATTGATAACACTACAAACCAGTAAAAGTCTGAAATGGCCTATATCTGTACTCGACTGTACTGATTTTTACTCGACCAGTCTGAATTGGTCTGAAATTTACTTGATAATACTCGACTGTAGTCTGAACCATACTTAACAGTCTGAACTTGTACTCGACCCTTACTCGACCAGAACTTAACCATTTTATACGCGTCTGAACCATGCCTGACCTAGTCTGAACCATGCTCGACCTAGTCTGAACCATACTCGACCTAGTCTGAACCATACTCGACCAAGTCTTAACCAACCTAGACCTATTTTTTGTATCTATCTATTGTATTTCATCAATTTAGGAACTGTTTTTAACAACAGCTATTTCCCCTGGCTAGAAATTTGAACAATTTGAAATTAAAAATGTATTCAATATAGCATTGAAACCAAAATTTCACAATAAACATAATATAACTTCATCACCATATTCATCAACACTTATATACATACATATATATCACCTTTAAAATAAAAATAAAACAAGCTGATCAAATAATCTCAAAACTGAATTGTGACTAATATTTTCAATGTTATTCAAAATTTTTTGAATGTTTCAGATATATTTTATGGTTACTGGACAATTTTCACCATTAACTTAAGCCTCGTATATATTTATGGTGTCAGTTGAGTTTAGTTAATAATGCAGTGAACATTTTTTTATTAAAATTTATATAAAATAGCATATAAAGCAACTTAATAAATTTAAAAAATGACACCTTTGTTTTGTTAAACCGTGTTTAATATAATCATGATAATAGAACTTCCATAGTAATCCTGAAATAAACTTTTAAAAAAGGAAATGTGTTCCAAAGTTACAGTAAAAATTTATTTCAATTAAATTTAAATAATGTTTGTCAAAATTAAAGACATGGCATACAACATTGTACAAGAAGCACTTTAATAAGGTTTAATTACCTCAGTACATGTGTGTTTTACAGGTAAAAATAAAGCCCTATTTTCTTAAACTCGTGTATTACTTATGTAGTGAATTCAAAAGGCCTTGCGATTTAAGTTTCACAGGATGTTGCAATTTTGAATGAATGTTATTTAGAATTTAATACTCTCTGACCAGGTATGATCTTTTTCATGAGTTTGCCCCAAGCAGGAGGTATTACTTTATACTTCACCACTAACATGACTAATCAGAAGAACAGTTTTATTAATTTCTTTAATTTTTATCCCTTTTTGATATATATTGTATATAATATATCCCAAATTATCTATATGTTTCTAAAATAAGGTTAAACAATTTCAGTGATCTATCTCTATCTCTATTCGATAAATCTGAGAATCATGTAAGAATGTAAAAATCTGTTTTTATAATATATCTTTATTTTATTGTGGCTGTTGTCATGTCAGTTAAAAAGAAAATTAATTTTAACAGTTAAAATTTAGAAAAAGTAGAGGTTATTGGGTCAAGTATGGTTCAGACTGGTCGAGTATTGTTCAGACCTTTGGTCGAGTATGGTTTAGACTGAAAAAAATAGGTCGAGTACAGGTCGAGAATGGGTTAAGACTGTTTCAGACTGGCTGAGTAATTGTTCAGACTATTTTCAAACTCAAAGATAAGGGTCAAGTACAAATCAGTACAGTCGAGTATGGTTAAGACTGGGGTCGAGTAATGTCGAGTAAAATTCAGACCAATTCAGACTGGTCGAGTAAAAATCAGTACAGTCGAGTACAGATATAGGCCATTTTAGACTTTTACTGGTTTGTAGTGTAATTGAAATGACATTTAAATAAGAGATAACAAAATAAAAATAAAAAAAAAATATTTTGCACTGCTGCAAAACTGCTTGACTTGTCATTTAATCAATGTATCGATATACTGTTTTCAAAAACCAAACATTATTGCAAAACGTTGATAATATATTTAAAATCAAAATTGCCATTTGCATATTTCGTTTGCCGTAAAAATAAATCTTATTATTCACCGCCCATCTTTCTAGAACAGTAAATCACGTCCCAAACATTGTATGCTATGTCTGCATAAACATTTAACAGCAAGTATTTGTACTCTTTGACACGATAACAAATGTGGTATAATATACAAGAAAATAACGTTATGAAGTTTAGTTTTTATTTCTTGCTTGTCCTTTTAACATTATTGAATTTTATTGCAACGGACTATAATATTTTTTTCTCATCGGTAGTGACCATTTATTATTGTATCATGAATAGTCTTTAAAGTACTTGTTCAAAGACAAATGTAACAAAGAAAAAAATATGTCCTGTTGGAAAAGATGTTAATCAATATGGCTATTGTACTTAATAAAACATTGTAGAAGTTAAAAAGATATCTACTTCCCGTTTTTTGTTCGAATAAAACAAAACTATAAAGCACACCTTCCCAAGCCCAACCTTGAGCTCTATCTATTTTCAACATATTTTGAATGTATTACTAAAATTTCTAGTGTTTACATAAAACTAAAAGAAAAGTTTCTTGTTTCAACTTATAACTGAAACGCATTGATATTACGTCGCGAAAAAGACTGTTACACTTTTACCTTGACTTATTGTTTTAAGAAAAAAAGGGGGTTTACTTTTGGAAGGTATTGAATTGTTGACTTTCTATAAGCAACACATAATATTGTATGAAATGTCTAATTGATGTTACGAACAAAAATAAATAGCTACATATCAAACAAATACACATACACATCAGTTGATAGATTAAGTAATGATAAAGAAGGCACGGATCTGCTCAGCCTTCCGGAGCACCTGGGATCACCCCCAGTTTTTGATGGGGTTCGTGTTGCTCAGTCTTAAGAAACTTATGCAAGCTTTTTTAGTTATATAGCTTCTCAAGTATACAAGTTATGACACATCCTTGGCTTTCGCATTTTTTGATTTGATTACTTGTAATGTTGTTTTACGGTTACATCAAATTCAAAATTTTCTTTTTCTCTAATTTTTGTTCTATTTTCATATTTCTTGATCGGTTTGAGCTAGTGAAAAATCTGTTATCGCAAATGATTGGTCGAAATTTAATTATGACGTCAAATTTTTTTGGTTTCTTCTGAATTTCCTATTGTGACGTCATCAAAAAGGCGACCATGTCTGATGACGTCACATGTAAAGAACACAACTTTTTGCAAATCTTCGAAAAGGAAGGATAAAAATCATTATAGAAATATCTTCCACCTCTTTAAATCGTGTATTAAGATACTTATCCACTCTCAACAGTTAAATGTTACCTATTAAAAAGGTCGGCAAGCCTCGCACTTTAAATATTAAAATCTAACTGTCTCGAGTGGAGAAATATCGTAACACACTTGTTGCAGTGTTGGAATCTATATGACATGTACTTCTAGTCACCTAGTGCATCATGACTTCAGAAGTCAGTGCTTATGTACTGGTACGATTTTAACA